TCTGCAAGTGAATATATTTAAAAGTTAGTTCTGGCATTTTCTAATGTAATGAGTTGATATTCTTTGGATGTGTCCCCACCCAAATCACATCTTGAGTTGTAGTTCCTGTAATTCCCATGTATCATGGGAGGGACTCTGTGAGAGGTAATTGAATGAGGGGAGAGCGGGGAGGTGTGGAGGGGAGATGGTGGGTATTTCCCATGCTGTTCTCATGATTATGAATAAGTCTCATGAGATCTGATGGTTTTTTAAAGGGAAGTTCCCCTGCACCTGCTCTCTCTTTCCTGCCAACATGTAAGATGTGACTTTTCTACTTATTTGCTTTTGGCCATGGTTGTGAGGCCTCCCCAGCCATGTGTAACTGTGAGTCAACAGTTACCCAGTCTCAGAGATGTCTTTATTGGCAGCGCGAAACTGAACTAATACATCAATGTTTGTGTTATTGAGTGAGCAAGAATTGGAATACATATCAAAGAACCTGTAGCTCAGAATTCTTTTTATGTAACAATATGCTTCACATACCACATCAGTGATATACGAACACTACATTTCCTTCTTTAATCATAAAAATAATGTACCACACTACCTGACTTCAAAACTATCCTACAAGGCTACAGCAACAAAAACAACATGATACTGGTACCAAAACAGTTCTACAGATCATCGGAACAGAACAGAGGCCTCAGAATTAATGCAACACACCTACATACATCTGATCTTTGACAAACCTGATAAAAACAAGCAATGGGGAAAAGAGTCCCTATTTAATAAATGGTGTTGGGAAAACTGGCTAGCCATATGTAGAAAGATGAAAGTGGATCCCTTCCTTATACCTTATACAAAAGTTAATTCCAGATGGATTAAAGATATAAATGTAAGACCTAAAACCATAAAAACCCTATAAGAAAACGTAGGCAATACCATTCAGGACATAGGCATGGCAAAGACTTCATGACTAAACACCAAAAAGAATGGCAACAAAAACCAAAATAGACAAATGAGATCTAATTAAACTAAAGAGCCTCTGCACAGCAAAAGAAACTCTCATAAGAGTGAACAGGCAACCTACAGAATGGGAGAAAATTTTGCAGTCTGCCCATCTGACAAAGGAATAATATCCAGAATCCGCAAAGAACTTAAATAAATTTACAGGAAATAAACAAACAATCCCATCAAAAAGTGCATGAAGGATATGAACAGACGCTCCTCAAAAGGAGACATTTATGGAAACAACAAACATATGAAAAGAAGCTTATCATCACTGGTCATTAGGAAAAGACAAATTAAAGCCACATTGAGATATCATCTCATGCTAGTTAATGGTGATCATTAACAAGTCAGGAGACAACAGATGCTGGAAAGAAGGTGGAGAAATAGAAATGGTTTTACACTGTTCATGGGTGTGAAAATTGGTTCAGCCATTGTGGAGGACAGTGTGGTGATTCCTCTAGAGTCTAGAACTAGAAATACCATTTGATCCAGCAATCCTATTACTGCATATACCCAAAGAATTATAAATTGTTCTAATAAAGACACATTCACACACATGGACAGTTTATTGCAGCACTGTTCTTAATAGCAAAGCCTTGGAACAAACCCAAATGCCAATCAATGATAGACTGGAAAAAGAAAATGTGGCATATATATAACATGGAATACTATGTAGCCATAAAAAATGAGTTAACGTCCTTTGCAGGGACATGAATGAAGCTGGAAACCAACATTCTCAACACACTCACACAAGAACAGAAAACAAAACACTGCATGTCCTCACTCATAAGTAGGTGTTGAACAATGAGAGCACAAGGACACAGGAAGGTAAACATCACACATTCAGGCCTGTCAGGGTGTGGGGGACTAGGGGAGGCATAATGTTAGAAGAAATACCTAATGTAGATGATGGGGTGATGAATGTAGCCAACCACCACGGCACGTGTATTCCTAAGTAACTTGCATGATATGCACATGTACCACTGAACTTAAAGGGCAATAAATACATAATGTCCCATAATAAAACCTAAAGGAATACTCTGAGAATGCATTTATACATTTATATGTATGTATATACCAATATATGTACACCATGAAGAAAATTAAAAGTTAGCCAATTAAAAAATTTATTTGCCATGTTTAGAAGTTTGTGGAAAATAAGATTGTCTTTCATTCACTGTCAATCAGCATGCCTTTGATTTTTTTCCAATACAAAAAGTGGAAACTGAATTAGGTACGTACATTTATACATTGAGGGTTTGGAACTACATGTGTAAAGTTATTAACTTTATTAACAATGTTTGAGGAAATAAAAAAGGATGAAAAGCTGAGTTGGTTCTAAATAAAAAGAACCAATGATATAAGCAATTTTGCCTAGCCAGTTAAGTAAATTTAACCAAGTATCTTACTGTCTTTGAATTCTATCTTCTGAAGTATTAAATCAGTATTTCTTTCATTGCAAATGAACGATTTACTGAGCATCTTTTCAAAGTAAAGTACTTCAGTGTGTTATAAAGATGAGTCAAAGATGGTGTCAGTATATTAGCACCTAAGTTGTTTACTTCTTCACAGCATGCTGAGACCTGTTCACTCGAAAGTTTGCTAGTGCCAAACTCTAAATTTTATAAATCTAATGTTTCTTGTGTTTTAATGGCTTCAGAAATGTTTTCCCAGCAAAGAAAAAACTATTCATTTCTATATTAATTTTTATAAAGATGTAATCTCCTAGTCTATTTGGGCTGCTACAGCAAAATGCCACAAAAAGATTGGTTCATAAACAACAAATAAGCGGATTTTTAGCATATTTGTCCTCACAAAACTGTGCCCAATATCTACTAGCTGTGGAAAGCCATTTCTGCTGTTTAGAGCCCTCTGATGCAGAGACAATCTATCGTGCTATTGGGGAATATTATCAAGATATGTATGTCCCCTCTCCAATACCCCTTTCCTCGGGAGTTCACTGGCCCTTCTCTTCTAGATGTTCCCCAACCTCAGGCTTTGGGGGACATGCAAACCAAAAAATCCTCCAATAAAGTGTGTGTGTGCTGCTGCCACCACATGATCGTGGCTTTTTCTTTGTTCAGCTCTGAAATGACTCAGGAATCCTGCTACTAATAGAGCCTTTATTAATGTCACTGGGGTTGACGAGATTACCATTTTAATTTTACTATTGAAAGATAGTTGACATTAAAAAAAAAAAAAAGCTGTGCATAGTTTGGAGATAAGTGAAACCTGGGAATCCAACACCACAATGCTAAACTGACAGAAGCATAACAGAATTGTGGATTCCAGAGGCTGGCGGTGGGATGAGGAGTGAGTAGCAGGGAGGTTTTGGCTAGAAGGTGCAAAGTTTGAGTTATAGAAGACGAATGAAACATTATATTTAAGTTATCTTCAAACTAGATACATATTTTTGTTCTTAAAGTTAACGTTTGTTGAGTGTTGGCTTTCTGATTATCACTGCAATATATACGGTCAGTCTATAAAGTTTAGAAATTCCAATATATAAGCATAAAAAATACCTATTACTATGTTATTCAGACTGAGACACAGTGCTAGTCATGAGACACGTAAAATAACAACTGCGTTAAAAATCTCACTTTGACACATGTAGCAAATGCTTGTCCAATTACATGATGGTATTTCAGTCTGCCACAAAGAAGCAAACATTCATTTTCCAGGTCTTTGCCAGTATTGACAATTATTAACAGAAACAAAAAAGGGAGCTTTTTAGTTAAAATGGGATATCATTTTATCAAACATTTTATTACTATCTAGTAAAACATATTGCAACATTTTTTTTTTTTTTTGCTGAGAATGATCATCTGGCCCTTTCTGATCATCATTTAATGCCTCCAGTTCCGTGTTAATACCTAACACTTTTCAGAAACTTGATTATTTAAAAGTGCTATGGGACATGACTTCAATTAATTACCCAAATTAACCAATATGGTAGAAATCTAAGGTGGCAGCTCAGGCCACAAACACCATTTCACGATACTACTACATGATAAAGGGCTTGACAACAGTCACTTACTTGTTCAAGGAGTAGACCTATGTTTTTCCAACTTTGCAGCTACAAAAATCCCGCAGCCAAAGAGTCAGGTTGTCTCACTATATATAAGTAATAATATGGGGGAATATGGAATAATACATATATTAGATATAATATTATTTGTAATATATCTGGAGTAATTACCATAAAACACCATTTCCAGTAAAATATACATAGAAATTAAAATAAAGTTGATATTTAAGTTCCTTTCTAACAATGACTCCATTAATTTTACAACTGCTAAAGTCTTCTCTTCATTGTTATAATATAGACATGCAATTGTTACCATAGGAATAAGTTAACTTGTCTTTTACATTTCATTGCTTAAGTGCTAAATGGAGTTTCCCAGGCAAACACTGTCTTTTGCTGTCAATATCTGGCTCCAAGTTACGTTTGCAGCACAAAGCATTTGAATTGACTGTTACAGTGTAAGATTTCTTGCAGCCTTGTCTTTTATACAGTTGCTATCCTGTGGAAAAGCAAAAGCCATACACCACAGTAAGAAGGAAGCCTTCTGTGTCAAATGCTTATGTTCTGTTGAAGATTACAGAATATATATCCACTACTTATGTGACATTATAATACCTTATCTTTCTTCTTATCATTAATAATATTGAACTTAACTATCCCTAATGTAAAAGTAAATGAATTACCATAGAAATATGTGCTTCTTATGAAACTGTAGAAAAGTTTTTCTAGTTTACTCTATATTTAAATACATTACATTTTTAAAAGTACAATGATATAAAACACAAATGTGGTATAAGAATAACTTTCCACTAGAAATCTCCTCTCTTCAAGCTTCAATCTATAGATGATGCATACAGCTAGAAATATGCTGAAAATTCCTAATATAATCAATGAATTTTTTCTTTTAATCAGAATTATTACACAAAACAATTCAAAATAACATATGTTATACAAATAGATTACACATTGGATTTTTAATCTTGTACACATAGTTTACTGGCAGTATGATAGCTAGAGATTTATTTAAGAAGTGATTATTGCTAATTGAAAACTTTTTGCAATACCTCACCATTTTGACTTGTAATATAGTCAACATTGGCAATTTTTTGATATTATCCACAGAGACTAGTTTATAATAACAAATGTCAGTTATTATATAAAGCATAAAGCAATATTTACATGCCTTAAAACTTGAGCATAATGGATTAGACAAGTAAAATAATGACAAATTCTTTAATTTTTATGCAAAAGTGAGATTTCTGAGCCTTAATAAAAATAGAACTTGAACTCCTGGGTTCAAATGATTCTTCTGCTTCAGCCTCCTGAGTAGCTGGGATTACAGGCACCTACCACTATGGCCAGCTAATTTTGGTATTTTTAGTAGAGATGGGATTTCACCATGTTGGCCAGACTGGTCTTGAACTCCTGACTCAAGTGATCCACCTGCCTTAGCCTCCCAAAGTGCTGGGATTACAGACATGTCACCACACCCAGCCTAAATTATTATTCTTAGAAAATAAATTTTAATGTGTACCATACTGGAAGAAATTTGGTAAATGAAAATTAACTTATAAAATTGATAGATGGATTTTATCTAAGAGGAATAAATGTCTATCTAACACTGTGGCACTAAAACAAATTATATTATACTTAAATTATTTAATAAATAAGATGCATATATTTTAGGTTTCTCATAAAGATACAGCAACTACTTTTCAGAAAACATTTTATTCAATTTGATAAGAAAAATGTGAAGCAAGTTTTAATAGAGTAAGGATAGAAGAAATATTTTAATTCATAGTTTAGAGAATCACAGAAGTTAAAATTATTTTATGAAGGAAATATAAATAGCATTTTTTATTTGAATTCTAACTTAAGCATAAAGAATGCTAGGTATCTAAATTTTTATAAAAATAATAAAATATGCTCCTTTTATAGTTTTAACTAAGGAAAGAAAAACAGTTTAGAGGGTAAAACAGTTATAGAGACATAGATGGTGACTCAGACTGAAAAATGAGAGACCATCAAATTAGTAAATAAAATAATTTAGCAATAGACTTATAACGTCACATTCAATATAACCATGCAGCAAAGAAAAGAAAATATGTTTGTTTTGTTTTTAAACCAAGGAGCAATTTTTACAAAGAAACATGGCAGGTAATACTTGGTCTATGGAAATTTCACCAGAAGCAGAAGAAATGCATGGGTTACATCAGACGAAGTGTCAACATTAGTTAGTTCTTATCAAAAAAAAAAAAAAAAAAAGTACATGGAAGCATTACAAATAAGAGTGAACATTAATCTAAACTGCACATAATGACTACTAGACTAATTTATTCACAAAGGATCACACAAGCAGTGAAATTCAAAGATAAAGCAGAATGCCTGCCAGACACCAAGCTGTTATTAGAAGTGGCAGACATGCAGTGTGTGATTAAAGAAGCAGTAATAGTTGAAATAATTTACTGTGAAAATTTCAGTTACCTGCACTTTCTTCCAGTCTGTTAGTAACTGTTTCTAGCAGAACAAAGTCTTAGAATAGGGGACATGTAAAATTCACTGGTTCTTTACAGACAGCAAACCAAAGATATGAGAGAGACTTTTGACACAAACAAATGTAACATTTTATAAACTGACATCTCTATATTGTACATTTTTTCCACTTATGCTTTTGAGATCTTTTACATCTGTGCCAGTTAAAAGGATTATCATCCTTGGTAAAATATTTTTCCTCGTTTCAAAACGTACATAGATCTAGTTTTATACGGCCCACAGAACAGACGTCTATGACCAATAATTTCAACTATCTTGAAAAATAAATAAAAAATGAAATTGACTGAATGCCAAACACAAAGTCTCAAAGTAAATTGCATATTTTAAAAACTTGAGGTTCATTTTTATGCCATAAATATTTATAATTTGAGGTGAAAAAACAATTGTAACCTGTAAAACACATTATTTATTGTGATAGTTAATTTTATGTGTTAATTTGGTTGAGACATGGGATGACTAGATAGCTGGCCTTATTTCTGATTTTATCTGTGAGGATGTTTCCAAGAGAGATTTGTATGTGAATTGTACTTAGGAAAGCAGAGAGTTCTCCCAAATGTGGATGAGTGTGATGGTTAATACTGAGTGTCAATTTGATTGGATTGAAAGATGCAAAGAATTGTTCCTGGGTGTGTTTGTGAGGGTGTTGCCAAAGGAGATGAACATTTGAGTCAGTGTACAAGCAGACTCATCCTCAATCTGCGTGAGTGCCGTCTAATCAGCTGCTAACTTGGCTAGAATAAAGCAGGTAGAAGAAAATGGAATAGGGAGACTTGCTGAGTCATCAGGCCTTCATCTTTCACCTGGGCTGGATGCTTCCTGCCTTCGAACATCAGACTCCAAGTTCTTGAGCTTTTGGACTCTTGAACTTAACCTGTGATTTGCCAGGGGCTCTTGGGTCTTGGGCCACAGACTGAAGGCTGCACTGTTGGCTTCCCGACTTTTGAGGGTTTGAGATGCGAACTGGCTTCCTTGCTCCTCAGCTTGCGGAAGGCCTATTATAGGATTTCACCTTTTGATGGTGAGTCAATTCTCCTAATAAACTTCCCTTTATATATACATATATCTTATTAGTTCTGTCCCTTTAGAGAATCCTAATACAATGGGTATCATCCAATTTTCTGAGGGCATGAACAGAACAAAAAAAGGTGAAGAGAGTTTGAGTTTTATTTCTATCTGACTATACTGGTACATCAATCTTTTGCTCTCCTTCTGCATTCCAGAAAAGATCTGCAGATTGAGACTAAAATTTACACCATTGGTTCTCCAGCTCTTAAGTCTTCAAATTACACCACAGGGTTTTCTGGGTCTACAGGTTACAAACAGCAGATCATGGGAATTCTCAGCATCAAAATTGTGTGAATCAATATCTTCATAATAAATATCGCATGCCTACATCCTATTGATTCTGTTTCCCTATAAAACTCTGACTAATCTATTTACTAAAGTAACCTTAAATCATATTAGATATTTAGGTAACTCAAAGTAGCATAGAGAACCAATTCCATTCATTGAGAAAAGAACAGTATTTTCAGCAGATGTGTTAGGAAATCTAGACATACTCATACAAAAGAGAATGAAGCTGGACCCTTACTTTGCACAGTATACAAAATTTAACTGAAAATTGAGCTGAAACTCTTAAAGATGATAAAAGGGAAAAATTTCATAAAGTTAAATTTGGCAATCACTTCTAAGATATAAAACTAAAAGCAAAGGCTAAAAAAGAAAAGAAATTAGATTTTAGCAAAATTTAAACTTTTGTGCATCTAAGAACACTATGGATAGAGTGTAAATGTAATCCACGAAATGGGAGAATACTTGAAAATTATATATTGGATGGGAGATTAATATCCAGAATATATAAAGATCCCCTATAACACAACAAAAATAACCAAATGAATTTTAAAATCAGCAAAAAACTTGAATTGACATTTCTCCAAAGAAGATCTACAAATGGCAAATAAACACATACAAAAATGTTCTGTATCACTGATCACTGAGGACATTCAAATCAATTTCATGACAAGATACCAATTCACACTCATTAGTATAGCTGTTATAAACAAGATAAAACAAAACAGATCGTATATGTTGGTGAGGATATAAAGAAATTGGAACACTTGTACACGGCTTGTGAAAATGTAGAATGAAACAGCTACTGTAGAAAATGGTATGGCAGTTTCTTAAAAATTGAAACTTAGAGCTATCGTATAATCTGTTTATTTTATATTGGAGTATATACTCAAAGACTTGAACAGGAATGCCTGTATGTATATCCACGTTTCATGTATAACAATGTTTATAGGAGCATTATTTACAGTAGCCAAATATGAAAGTAATGTGAGGGTTCATCAGTGGATAATTGAATAGACAAGATGTATTATATACATACAATGAAATTTTTTTCAGCAAGGAAAAGAAAGGAAAATTTAACATATATTACAGTATGAATGAATCTTGAACCATTATGCTAAGAGAAATAAGCCAGCCACAAAAGACCAACTTGCATAACTCAACTTATATGAGCTACCTTGAGTGGTGAAGTTTATAGAAGCAACAGTAAAATATTGGTATCCAGGTGCCTGGGGAGGAAGAAATGAAAGGTAATTTTTTTAATGGATCTGGATTTCAGCATAAGAGATGCAAATAAGTCCCAAAGATGAATAGTAGTAATGGTGTATGACAATGTGGATGTAGTTATTACCACTAACTGTAGTCATGAAAAAGATTACAATAATAAATTTTGTTATGCATATTTTACCACAATAAAAAATTTAAGAAATAAGGCATTGATTATATCATTGTGTTGATGAACTTACCTTGTATAAATAAGTAACATTTTTAGAAGAATGCATACAAGGGAAAAATGTGTATAGGATCGAGTTGTCATATACTAGTAAAATTACGTTAGTATTAATCAGAACTAGATTCCTTTATTGTAAGGTATAAAGTGAAATGTCCAGGCTGAGAATCAATACTTATGTACACACTCAAAAACCAAACCAGAAAAAAAAAAAAAAAAAAGCTTCAAAAGTAAATTAAAACAAGAAAAAGGTAATTACAATTCTATGTTAGAAAAAATATATTTAACAGAAGGCATAAATTAAGAAGTAGAGGGGAAAGGGACATAAGGAATATAGAAAATAAATAATAGGTGAAAATCTTATCAGTAATTACATTAAACCTAAATAAATTAAACATTCTGATTTTCAGTTGGAGATACTCGAAGAATGGATAAAAATTCTATGATCAATCTATAGGTTGTCTACCAAAGACACATTTTAGGTTTTCCGATACAAATAAGTTGGAAAAAAAAAAAAAAGAATAAGAAAAGATGTACAATGTAAACAATAAAAATAACAGCTAAGATTGCTATGCTAATATTACACAATATAGACTTTAAACATAAATGAGTAACTAGAGACAAATAAGTTTACAATAATAAAAGCATTAATCCATTAATAAGACACATCAATAATAAAACCTTACATATATCGTAAAAGACTCTCAAAATACATGGAAGCAAGAAATAACAGGCCAAAGAGAATGAATAGACAAATCATAATTGGAGTTA